ATATATGTCATAGTGCTAGCCATCAGGTGTCTTGGAGATGCATCTGGAAGAACAGCACAGCAATAGTAAAGAAAGAACATTGCATGGTTAGAAAACCCTCCCCAGAAGCTGTAGGGTTGGTTGAAAGAAAATCCCACACAGTCAAGGGCAGGTTGTGTCCCTACAAGTTGCTAGCCAACAAAACCGTTTAAATCCGAGAAACCAGAAAGGCAATTTCCACTAATGTTGGTTGCATGGCTAAATTAGGTGAAAACACATATATCACAGGACATGGAGAAATTAGGCCAAAACTGAGGAGGAGCCCACACTGCAGAGGGAGAATTATTGCCAATAGTCCTGTTTGGCTATGCATTTCATTACACAACCACGGCAGGCAAGGGGTGTCTGCTGGTGCAATAATGGCAAACTGGTGTGAATGTAGACGACACTTTCTGATCGGATTTAAGGCTCCCCAGGAAGGAACCCATGTTTGGAACTATAAAACTGGCAAAAACTTGTGGCTGGAGGTCATAGGCTCTGGTGGGGAGAGTACTATTGTTTGGTTAAATGAACAGACATGCCCGTAAAACACTTGTCTTTCTTACCCACAGGTTACTGCTGCTCTTCTTTTTGCAGTCAGTGGTAGTTAGTGAGACTCAAAACCAGCCAAACAGCTGTAAATAAATACCTATTCCTATGGCATCGCGGCCCAATGCCCAATCATAAGTGAAAGAAAGTAATCAGAGTTCTATGTGACCCCTTCCAAGGTTCAGGGAACATTATCCAAGAAGTGCAGAAATACTGGCCATAGAAAGAAGCCAAGTGTTATACAGTGTTCCCTTTCCTGCAGATGGAAACATTCTCTCCTGGAGGCAGAGGAGGATGGACGAGAATCAGAAAGTTCACCAAACTTTTAATTTAAGACTATCCACGACAGGCATGGTGGCACACGCTTTTAATCCCAGCACTGGAGAGGCAGAGGCGGGAGGATCTCTGTGAGTTCGAGGCTAGTCTGGTCTAGAAAGTGAGTTCCAGGACAGCCAGGGTTCGGTTACCCAGAGAAACCCTGTCTCGAAAATCCAAAACCAAACCAAATAAACAAAAAAAAAAAAAAAGAATATCCACAAAGCCCCTTCCCAAAGTTACTAAAGCAGTTAGCAATTGTTGCAGGAGGCAGATGGAGCTGCCTTCAAGTCGTGCAGACAAGTCATTAACTCCATTGGGTAGGCTTTTCAATGTTGCAATTACTTCAGTCATCCTTAGCTCTGTAAATGATCCCAATACATTCACTGGTTCACCAAGCAAAATTTAGGAAGAATTGGTTTTGTTTTTGTCTGCCATCAGTACGCTTTGTCCTGAAGAAGCCCAGACAGAGCTTAAGCAGAGATCCACAACCTCTAGACCCCAGCGGTGGAAACGGAAGCGGCCAGTGACGCTCTACCCCGACAAGGACACGCCACAGCGGGGACCGGGTAGAATCGCCACCCGTTCCACCGGGCGGGACTGCACTGACGCTCCGGGCCGAGGGCGGAGCCGCGCATGCGTTATGGGGTGGAGCTAGGGTTGTGGGCGGGTCACGCAGGCGCCGTGGGACTTTTGGCGGGGAGGTGGTGAGTGCGCGCGGTCGTGTGCCGCGGGGACGCGCGTGGTGAGCGGCACCGTACTTTCTTCACGGCCGGGCTCGCTAGATCTAGCTTCGGCATTTCTGGAAGCTGAGAGGGAGGCGTTGGGTCTGACACCCCACTGAGGGCGCGGGGAGGGCTGCGCGCGGGTGGCTAGTGGGTGATCCGAGCCCTAGATGTGTTTGGTCGCCAGGCGGAGCCCTGCTGACCCGGGAGACTGAGCGGGAGGTGGAGTCTCGCTATCCTGGGACTGTCCCCTGACTGTCACCTGCTGCGAGGGCAACGTGCCCAGCAGCGGGCCTGCGACGTGCGAGTTGAGATACCAAGCAGAGCTAGCTAGGTTCGCGCACACCCAAAATAGGATTTTCATTTTTAGACATCATTTGGAACCCCTGCCAGTTTCCAAGGCTTGTGCCTTCTGGCTCCAAATCTGCAGGACCTGGAGGGTTAGAGGAGGGCACAGATGGGGCGGGGTGGAGGGTGGGGGGCTGCTGATGGCTCGTGTGGGAATTTTGAAAGGCGAGGTAGGAATTCCGATATGGCGCTGTAAAATCTGAATTGCGTTTTCTTGAACTCATCAAACTCTGTTTGCCGGTGGATCTACTGGGAGGCAGGTCCTCCAAGACCTTAGCTACACCTGAGGATAGAAGTGCCATCAAAATGGCAAGTGAAGATTCTTCCAGTGAAGGGAATGTGCAGGAGGCACATGCATCTGTCCTTAAATAGTATCTGAGAGGCCAATAAATCTCACACCTAAGCACAAGTAATGCTAGAGAAATTCGAAGCCAGTACAGAAGAACAACCAGGAAAGCCAAACCTCTCGTTAAATTGATTCAGCATCAAACAGCACAGGCCTGACATACATGCCCACTCTGGGACCTAAATACTGTTTTTACCTCTACCATTTTATACACAAATCAGGCTTATAACCCAGACTGAGACACAAGAAAGAGCAAGAAGACAGACAGCCTTGCTGCCAAGGAACAAGATACTCAATAGGTGCAGAACCAGACATGGCTCAGATGTTGCTACAGCTATCAGATAGGAGGTTTAAAACAAGCATGGTTAACACGTTAAACATGCCAGTTAAAAGACACATAGCATGCATACACTGGGGATTTCAGCAGAGGAGGAGGAAAAGAACAGTAGACAGGAAGAGAGGAAGAATAACTTAAGGGGCCTATCAGTTATGTGAATAAAGCCAGTGAACTTGAAGGAAGTCTATAGAAATTATCCAAATAAGGGCTGGTGAGATGGCTCGGCAGATAAAGGTGCCTTGCTTCCAAGCCTGACCTGAAACTGATCTCCAGATCCCACTTGGTGAAAGGTAAGAACTGACTCCACATTGGTTCTGTGGCCCATTGTGATGGCTACTCCTGGTGGTCAAACTGACTGTATCTGGAATGAACTACAATCCAGAAATGGAGGGCACACTTGTGATCCGGATCTTGAGCCAAGAAGACAACCTGCCTTTGGTCCAGATCTTGAGGCTGGAAGCACACCTTTAATCTGGGCCACACCCTCTGCTGGGAAGCCTATGTAAAGACAGTGGACGAAGGAAGGGCTCGTTCATTCTTCACCTGCCTGCCCTCACCTTGTCAGCACTTCCATTCCTTCACTGGAATCACCTACTTTATGATTCTAGAACATACAGAAGGCCAGCTGAGACACCCAGCCCCATGGGACTGAGCAACTGCTAGATTCTTGAACTTTCCATTCACAGCTAGCCATTGATGGACAACAGACTGTAAGACAGCCCAATAAATTGCTGTACACACACACACACACACACACACACACAAATTCGAGAGAGAGGGAGGGAGAGAGAGAGTCATCTCATGTTTTGTGACTATAGAGAACCCTGACTAATACACACATGCATACCTATACAAAATCAGTCAAGCAACAAAAATAAAATTAAAAAATTATGGCTGGTGAGATGGTTCAGAGGTTAAAGTCATTCGCTGCCAAGGCTGCTGATCCTGTACCAATCCCCAGGACCTATAGTGTAGGAGAGGATTTCTGTAAGTTGTCCTCTGAACTCGTCATGAATTCCATGGATGCACAATCCTCTCCCCAAATAGACGAACGTAAATACAAAGTAGATTATCTAGTTGAAGCATGTGGGGATGAAAACCAAATTCTCTGATTTCACTTTGTTTTGTAGCCCAGGCTAGCTGTAATTCGTCTTACCACTTGGCAGTCCTGGGTGGCACTGGGTAGATGTTACTTGCTCTGAGTTTGAGCTTACTTGTCAAGGAGGCTTGCATCTTGTGGGTGAGAATATGCACGGCAGGCAGAGTGGATTTGAAGGGTGCTCATTCTCGGTTCCAATGGTGATGCCCCTACCTCTTGGTCTTACAGAAGATGGCATCCGAGGCAGAGCCCCGCCCCCTGGGCATGTTTGAGTGCCAGCTCTGTGCCTTGACAGCTCCTTACAGCTACGTGGGGCAGAAGCCTCCAGACACCCAGGCTGTTGTGTGAGTATGCGCTCTGGGCCAGTGCTCCAGAGGCTCTGTCCACCATTGCTCGGAGGGTGCTGTGTGGAGAGTGTACCTGGCTTTGTGTTGTACCCTAGTCCTTGCCCTTGTTCTGGATGCTCCAGGTGCAGCCCGGGGAAGCCCCAGGCAAGACTGGAAACTTTTTTTAAAAACTCTGCCAGGATTCCCTGTCCTCCCTGTAGGTGCGGCTGACAATTAAGCACTTGCTCTATGAGATGGAAGCCTTGTGGCCCAGGCCAAACAGCAATGGAGGAGCATTGTGGCTTTTTGCCCTGTGTTCTCTGCTGGTGGTATTCAGGGCTGGGTGGGTACCTAGTGGTTCCTAAGGACCAGCTTCCTGAAGGTCTGTTTCATGCAGGTTGGGAGTAGAGCTAGTTCTAAGCTTGTTTGTTAGATTGTGGCTCATCCTTCATCAAACACATCATGTGAGAAAGCTGGCTTGTTCCGGACTCGTGACAAAGCAACAGGGGACCAGGCTCAATTCCCTTGCGTCCCTAGAGGATCATGCCGCTCAATTGCTCTCACGCTGATGTAGGTGGGATGGAGTATGCCCCGTGTTGACCTCATGAGCCCACCTCGTGAATCCTACTTGCTCTGGCATGCACTGGGAGGCTTCCACCGCACCTTGTGGAGCTGGGGCTAGGTCCCCCAGCTGCCAGCCTTTCTCCCACTGCCCTACTGCTTAGGTTGACTAGTTCCTGCCAGCTGAGGCTCCTGGTGCTGCCGTGCAGCCCCGCCGTGGCTCACAGAAGAGTGTCTCTTCTCCCTGCAGCCTCCTGGAGGAGAGCTACATCATGAAGGATCCCTTCTCCTCAGACAAGGCAAGGTTTCTGGTCCTCGGCTCGCGGTGCAGTGTGTGCGGCAGGCTGGTGTGTGTGGGCCCGGTAGGTGCACCTGGGGACTTCTTGTTTTTGCCCCACAGATCTGGGGACCTCCTGATCACCCGGTGGAGAGAGGTGAGGGTTCTTAGATGACAGCTAGCCTAGCCGCGGGGACACAAGGGCAAAGGGAAAGGGCCAGCGAGGGCAGAGTGTCTCAGCCTGAGGTTGGGCCTTGCAGTCGTCCTAGGGTCTGGGAACGCCCTGGCACCTGCTGCAGGGTCAGCACACAAAGGGGCCTTGCCACAGGTCATACCCGACAACTGTCCCCTCTCTAGGTTGTCTGGTTGATGTAGGGGATGGTGGCAGGAGCCTCAGCTCCCATGACTTGGCGGGAAGACTATGGAGGGAGTGTTTGAGGTCAACAGACTGGAAAAGTGGGCTGGGAGCCAACCTCTGAGGAGCCTCAAGTTGCTCACTCCCTGGGTTTGGGCTGTATTTGGGAAGCAGAAGTGAGAGTTGCCCCCAAGAATGTCAGGCATCTTCCCCTTTCTTGGATTAAGCAATACATTGTTAGTAAGATGGTCTCCATTGCAATGATTGTTCCTCAGAATTCAAGCAGGGTGGCCACTCTGCCAGCCCTTGGTGCATCCCTTTGTTGCTCAGGTGGCTGCCTCTCCCTGTGTCTTATGCGGTGTGGGGGAAGGGGGCTTGCCTGGGAGCGGCAGTGCTGTGTTGCCCCCACCCTCCATGTTCTAGCCCTGTTTCTTCTCACAGGATTGCAGCCTGTTCTACTCCAAGAGGGTCTGCCTCCCCTGCGTTCAGGAGAATATCAGTGCCTTCCCTCAGGAAATCCGGCAGGATGTGGAGAAGAGAAAAGGTGCCTCCAAGAGGCCTTCCAGCCATCCCTGACTGCCATGTGCATGGCCTCCTCCAGTGCAGTGCTGGGCTGGTTTGGCCAGGGTTCCGACTGGGAGCTGTGTATCTGGCCTTCTCTGAACTGTGGAGTACCTGGAGCCCTGGGAACCCAGGAGGTGGCCAAGACTGAGGCCAGACAGCGGGAGTGGATCCAGCTGCAGCTCCAGAACTGGCCTCTAGTGGAGTAAGGGAAAGGGAGCCTCCTTCGGTGGACAGTTGGTAGACACTCCTGGTAGATGTACCTGTGGGAGACACCCAGCTTCTCTCAGGACTTCCAAGTAGCATGATGTCACGTCTGTAGGGAAATCAGCCTCCAAGGGTTACGTCACATTCTGTGTCACATGTCTGGGAAACGATTTAAACCTTGACCCTGTATCATGTTTATAATTAAAGACCTGAAGCCTAAGCTAATGGTTTAAGTAACCTTTTCCCTGACCTACTTGGACATTCAGTGCATCCCATCGGGGTCACTCTGTGGACTCGGTCTGTGCAAACCAGACATGTCCCAGCAGCATTCAAAACGAACCAACTAAGTTTTAAAAATAGTTTATTTTTTTTAAACCATTAAGGCAAAACTGTACCCTGAAATTAACTCTTTACATTCATCAGTCTTACAGTAGGACATTCCATACAGGTTCCCATAAATTCAGGATATAAATCAATGCATACAGTCAGTTCAATCTCCTATGGAGAAAACGAAGAAGACTCAATTTTTTTTTTAATTAAGGTTAAGTTACAGCCATTTTCTAATTGCCTGGAACCAGTCAGTTCATATGACTAGTAAATTCTATTTGTGCTTCTGTGTTCACCCTGGATTCCTGATGTCCTGGGTAGCCCTGTATCCACGAAGAGCTGGGAGGTGGGAGAGGATGCCGGCACTGGCTCAACAATCCCTGTTCAGGACCGTTTTTTTACCACAGAAGTGAAGAAGGGCTGCAGGCCCCCAGCTCTGAGAGAATGGCACATGGACAGTAGTGAGCAGGTGGCAGAAAGCTGGCTCAGACCTTGCTTTGGAAATGAGCATGTCCGTGTGTGTGTGTGTGTGTGTGTGTGTGTGTGTGTGTGTGTGTGTGTGACCCCCCCTCCCCTTGGGCTCTAGTGGGATGGCACTGTGGGTCTTGGAGCGTGTTACGAAGACACACCAAGGAGCAATGTGGCCAGGAGACTGGAAATGACATGGAGACACAGTGGAACAACTCAGATCACCACAGTTCTTTGGTAATTTACAGGTAACAATTCCCTGAATAACAGGCAGCTGTTAACCCTACAAGCCTACTCAGTAGTAGCCTTGATAGCAACACCGGTGTAAGGTTAGTGACTTCCAGTCAGGGTTCAGGAAGGCCTGGCTGGCAGAGATGGATACAAACAGATTGGCTTGCACTTGTTGCGAGGGGGAAGAAAAAAAAAAAACAATGACTAAAGGAACAGATGCCCACACTGGAAAGAGAGAGTGCACAGCTCGGGTGTGGGGCATGCGCTCACGGGCGGTGGTGCTGTTGTGTATTTGGGCTTCCTGGGTCGAGCAGGTTCAAGGGCCAGGCTTTGAACATACACCGCATTGAACCCCGACTTAGAAGATTCCAGGTGTTGGCAATCAGACACAAGATCACAAGCTAGTCAACTGCTTGTATCAGAGCGTTTAAAAAACAAAAAAACAGAAATCACAGTATTTCAGATATAGCTATAAAGATAATTCTTTTTTCATTCAGTGCAGAAAACATAGTGACACTTGACATGATAATACTGACATCTTCCTAGAAAGGTGCCAAGTGGCAGTCATCTGTTGTGAGGTACACTTGGTTTCAGGCCTGACAAAAGAGCCTCTTTTTTAAAAGTGAAATTTCCCCCAGTGACAACTTTACCAGGAAAGGGTCAGCCACTCGCTGGTCTTCAGGGCCTGAATCCAGACTCTACAGGACTTGATACACACTGAGTCCCAGGGGTCTGGGAAAGATGCCCAAGTGCCCACTGCAGGCCAGGGAGCCCAGATACCCATCTGCCTCTGCTCTGGCCTCACCACTGTAGGGGTGACTTGTGCCCCAGTGGTGAAGCATATTTCACTGAATAAATTAATTTGAAGCTGGACAAGGGGGAAAGACATGTGAAAAGGAGACCATTAGCTCCTCTCTTCACAGATCATTCCAGAGTTTCTATATTTGACCTCAACTGGGAAACTTGTAAATAAAAAGAAAGTGAAACTGAGCCTGGTCGCTGTCTATGATTCATTTTCTCTTGCCAACAATGGCACCTGGCAGGCACTGAGGTGTCAGGTGCTGTCAGCTGTGTGGTCAAGACATGACACTGACCATGGAAGCAGTTTGGTCAGTTCCGGTTGGCACAGGACTCCCCCAAAGGTGCACCTCACTATGCAACCACTCTCCCTGACAAAAGGAGTTCTCTTGGGGGAGCAAACACGCTCTTTTTCTCATGTCTCTGAGATTCTGAGACATGGATGCGACAGCTGTTGGCTGGGGTCTGATGAGCCTGAAGCCCACTCCACTGAGGAAAAACCAGAGATGCCAATACATTCCTCAGAGGAGGCTAGAGAGGAACATGATCTACTCATTTAAACCCAAACCTGTCTTGATGCAGATCTTAGTGTGTGCTGTGTTTTCAGAGAAAGACAAAGGCTGTCTCTGTTCTGAGTCAGGCTGTTCTGATATTCTGATCCTGTTCTGTTCACGGGTGTCAGCCATACAAATGGGACTGGGGACAGAGTGGTGCCTGGTGGGCCACTGGGAAACCAGGCTGGCCCTCCAGCCACTAGGCTGGTGGTATCTACTTGAAGATCGGTTTAGGCTCCTGTTCTCACCCCTCCAGAGGCTGTGACCTACTCTGCATTCTGTGTGAGCAGCTGTAGGCAGGTGCTGCATTTTTCCAGTGGGATCTTCATCTCGAAAGGCCACAAAGGTTAAGGAGAGATTCTGCGAAGGTGGTGGGCTTTCTGGCTCTATGAGGCCCTGGGCCAAAGGCTAGCCAGTCTCAGGGGACACCAGAAAACCTTTAAGCTGAACTTCAGCAAGAAATTTTCAAGATACATGGCCAAGGAAGCAGGGCAAAAATCCCTTTCCACCATGCGTCAGGCTGCTGAGTGTCCAGCATACCCATGTCATGGTGTGTTGATAAAGGCTCAAGGCGAGATATGTTTGGAATCAGACAGATACAAGCTGAGTGTAGAGCAGCCCAGGGGCCATGCTTGCTGAAGTTCTGCTTCAAGAATCTCTCCTGGGGGAGGGCCTATAAGACGATTGGAAAGAGGTGGTGTGGAGGGAGGGGCTAGCAGAGTGAAGCAGACAGGGTCCCAGAGGAAGTCAGGTAGACCTCAGTTCAGTAGATAACAGCCATTTTTGCACAAGTGCATCTTTAAAGCTCCCTTTAACAGCAAATGTTCCTTCATATCTCCTGGACACAGGAGTTGAGGAGGAGGGACTTGGTCTCTACTGGTCTCCAAGGAGTCTGGCACCAGGAGAATTTTGCCTTCAGTGCTGAGAAGTGGCTCCACACCCCTGCTCTAGAACTCCAGGAACCAAGGTGGCATCTCTTACTGGGCTATTGGTTGATGCCACTGACACCTTGCAGACCATAGCTATTCACTTTATCGTTCCTACATGTGCCACAGTATTTGACCTGGCAAGGCTTGGGTGACTGTCGCCTTGCTAAATCTGACTAGGTGACCTGAAAGATCCTATCACTATGTGGCCACATCGTGAATATTCTTCCTATTAATGGAAGTGCACAAAGTCCGTGACTTCCAAACCAAGGCCACTGTGGTCCCTCCTGGTTTCCCTGGGGTAACTCACTGGCAGTCACACGAGGCTCTGAGAACACCACATCTTCATGAACACCACTGAGCATCAGCTCTGACCCAAGCTGACACAGAGCTGTCAGTCAGCTGTGTGGTCCATGCTGAAAGCATACGGCAACGGGCTACTTTTATAAGTTTTATGGAAGTTCAAACAGAGTGCATGGCTACTCCAAAAACCCATGACTCAAAACTCTCTTTCCAAGGTCACCTACCCCAGAGTGGCATTTGTCTAATGCCCATCAGAACAGGAGTCTACCCTGGTTGGGGACTTGAAACTGGAATCCAACCTTTGACCCTTTAAACCTAGGACCCCTCTAGCCTGGAGGAAGGACCAAAGACTGGGTATGCTATGTGCCACAGAGGCCAGCTCCTTCCCGAATGAGCTCAATCCTCACTGGGATCATCTATGGAACTGATTTGCTCTGCCACTGATTCCTGAGAGCCTGGGCAGACTGCCTGCAGCGACTGCTGCCCAGCAGAGCCTTTGTCTGGCAGGAAGGGAGGAGGGAAAAGCGGGAAAGTGAGAATGAGGACCGAAGACAGGAAAGAAGACATGGAGGAAGGAGAGAAAGAGAGAGGGGGATGTTATGGGATATTTGTACACGGTATGACGATGTAGTGCTGAGATTGGTGTAGTAAAAAGCTGAATGGCCAATGGCTAGGCAGGAGAGGTATAGGCTGGATTTCCAGGTAGAGAAAGGAAGAGGGGGAGGAATCTCAGCACCCTAGAGACTCCAGGAGACATGAAGAGGAAACGGGAGGTCCAAGATGGAAGAGAGGTGATGCCATGTGATAGAACATAGATTAATATAAATGGGTTAATTTAAGTTATAAGAGCTAGTTAGGAATAAGCCTAAGTTATGGGCCAAGCTTTCCTAATTAATCAGAAGTTTCTGTGTCATTATTTGGGAGCTGGCTGGCAGGGCAGAAAAAGACTCATTCTATTTGTTTTTTTGAGACAAGGTTTCTTTGTGTAGCCTTGACTGTCCTAGAACTAACTCTGTAGACCAGGCTGGCCCTACTAGGCTGGACCCAAAACCCACAGAGGTCTACCTGCCTGTGCCTCCCGAGTGCGGGGATTAAAGATGTGCACAACCACCACTCAGCCATAAGTGTGCAAATCTTAAATTATGTCTTAACCCTAATTTTCCCTTTTTCCTACTTGAAATATCATGGCCATATTATTCGTTTTGCTGTCTTCATAATGCTGATCTTGAATATTTTATCTGCATCAATATTTTTAAAAGAAAAACAGGGTCTCATGCAGTACAGACTGGAATCAAACTTAAGTGTGCATATGAAGGCGACCTTAAACATTTGCTGAGGTCACAGGCACGCGCCACCATGCCCAGCAGAAAGCAGCACTAGGGTTCAGCAAGCCCTCTGCCAACTGAGCTACATCCCCAACTCCCTGGCAGTATCCATCTTGATTATTCTTTAATAACAGATAATGTGACTTCAGAAGAGTCAAAATTTTCTAAAGATGGGAAGGGGCACAAAAGATACACCCTGGTCAGAAATATGCAGCCACCCTCTTGGAGGGCAGGTGCTGGCAGATCCGTGAGGTCTGGGAATTCTCTGTGCCAACTATTTCTCCTGAAGGTAGTCAGCACTGCTTGCCCAATGGGATGGAAGAAAAGGGACTTCATCATCTAATTCTTTGAAACAAAACAACAACAAAAACCCAATCAAGTGTTGTGAGATCTTCTATTGGGTACAGATAGAAGGGGAAGGACACCACACCCCTGCCTCTTGTTCTCCAGGGTGACCAGACCCTCCCGGCCTGGGTAGTAAAGTCACCTTTGCCTTCTCCACTCCAGGGAGTATCTCCCCATCAAGATTTAAAAACAAAAAAAGCCATAAAGTGTCATATTAAAGGAGCTGCCCGAGGGGGCCTAGAGGAGCGTTTACAGATCTTCTGCGACTCCATCTCTGGAACTGCTGTCATGCCAACATGCTATGGGGTTAACATGAACAGGATTGCAGAACTTGTCGCTCTCTCGGGCCTCATCCTGTCTTTGTGTATCAGACATTGGTTAAAAAGTGCAGATTAGTTTTTTCAGAATTTACAAGGGCACACACAGCCAGAAGGTCGGTGAGCAGAGACGAAAACACTCAGACTTTGAGGTTACACATTAATTATAGGGGCAAATTATAAACGCGATGTAGAGAAATGTGCATTGATTAGTGCGGGACCAGTTACGATCAGCCCGGGGATTGCCATTCCTTGTGATTGTCTGAATCCTATTAGCCTCCGCTCACCAGCGTTTGAGTAACAGGTGTTCTTAGAAGTGCCAATTCAGAAAGGAAAGACGTGGGAAGAGCCTGCATTACCTAGGCTCAGCCCTCTTATCTCCAAGGGTAGGAGGGTGGTTGTCTGTGCAAATCCCTGCTCTCCTGTGTGGGGCTGCAGACCTCAGAGGTCCCTGGACGGCGGCAATGGCTGCCATCTCAGGAGAAATCAGTACATGTCCCTGTAGATCTCCTGCAGTAGCGGGTGCAGTGCTGCGTCGGACTCGGTCTTCTTGATGACCTGCACGAGCTGTGCATGCTCCGTGACCAGCTGCCGAAGGTCCACCATTTTTTGAAGAAGTTTCGGGAAGAGAAAGGTATCATCGGGATGGTTGCTCTGCAGGTGGAGCTTGAGCACGTGCACGATACCCTCCTGCATCTTCTCAATGTATCCTATGTTTAGAAGGCCAGGCCGATCTACGCTCAAAAGAAGAGAGAGACGTCTGTGTGACCATCCGAGAGCCACTGGTCAGTGGAGGAGCCGAGTGTCACTGCTTATCATGGCCCCGTGGAGAAGGCGCCGAGTGACCTTCACATGGTAACTTGACCAGAGGCCAGACAGACTTTTCCACAGTCGCTGGCTCTGATGAGGACAGACGTAACTGACGCTCCTAGCTCTTTATAGGGTCAGTACACGGTGCCACCTCCATCCCCCATATAGTACAGCCCCCATTTCTGGATTTGCCTGGCCTGACAGGCCCCAAATCATGCCACATCTTTGTGTAATGTAGGAAATGAAGTAATTCTTCCTGGGGGAAAGCTGTGAGTTCTGCTGCCCACCAGCACCGAAGGAGTGTGGCTGACCGGGCTCTGCCTTAAAAGCAACGTTATCAATACCTCCGGCGAGGCCCAGGTGGAGGGCAGACTGCGAAGTGATGGGGGCTGGGGAGATCATGGCTGGGCAGAATGCCAAGGAGCCCCTGGCGTTGGGAGAGCACACAGCAGGAAGTACCACTCCTCTCATCTGGTGGCCTTCCTGGGACAGTTTCAGGTCCTAGTCCATCCAGACAGCTGTGCCTTTTAAACCTCATCCACGTATGACCAGGCCTTAAAAGCTGCTAATGATGGTGTGGGTTTTTTTTTTTTTTTTGGCATATGTATAGGGATAGAAGGCATTTTATTTACAATATAGGAGTATTTATTTCATAATTCATGTTTGCCATTGGGAGCTGGTTTTCTCTTTCTACCTTTATGTTGTTCCAGAGAACAAACTGAGCGGTCAGGCTCACTCAGCAAGGGCTTTCTTTATCCATGGGCCCAGCTCACTGGCCCTTATTTATGTTTGGAACATCTTACTGACAACATATGCTTATTTTATCTCTTTTGTTTCCTGTTTCCAGAGGGGAGTGACATCTCTAAATCATATTATCAATTATTATGTCATTTGTATCAGTTTTTCCTTTACAGAAAGCCCAGAAATTTAATCTTAATATTTAAAAGCAAAGCAGGTATCCTGGTAATCAAAACGTAGAGTATATACAATTTTAGTTTGGTAATCTGGTTGAAATTTAAAATGTATCCTTTAACAAAATTATCTTGTTTTTTTTTAAGTGGGTTTATTTTTATATACTTATTTTAATTATGTGTATGTGTATGTTGGGAGGGTGGGGGACGCCCATGAGTACAGCTCTCTGGAAGACCTGAAATGGGCATCGGATCCCCTGGAGCTGGAGTGATAGGCTACTGTGAGCTGTCTGACTGACATGGATTCTGGGAACTGAACTCGGGTTCTCTGCACATACTGGTAACCAATGAGCCATCTCTCCTGCCTCTGATGTGAGTTTTAACCTTCATTGGTTTAGAAGTAAAATAAATATAAATAACCAAGGTCTTTGTGTACGTACGTATTTGTATTTTGTGTACGTATGTATTGATGAAATCGCTTGTTGTTTTTTGAGACAAGGTCCTCACTGGCCTGCAGCTCTTCACCAACCAGGCTAACCTGGCTGTGTAGCCAGCCCCAAGGATCTAGGTGTCCCTGCCTCCGCAGCACTGGGATTACAAGAGCACGCCCACACACCCAGCTTTTTTTTAAATGTGGGTTCTGGGTTCAAACCCAGGTCCTCATGCTTGTGTGGCAAGCACTTTATTGACTGAGCCATCTTCCCAACCCCTTGGCTACGTTTTCCAATGGTAGAATGACCCACTCTTTATAGTTTTAACTTCACCATGGTAAATTTACTATTTTCCATATGGAGTAGTTCCCATAGCCACAGGGTGGGTGCAGGACAGCAGCCATGAAAGGCCGTGTATGTGTAACTCTGCATGGCCTTGCCGCCCTCCCCCATCCACACGCCATCACACAAAGGACCCGACAAACGCTACAGATCTGTGGTGATTTCGTGCTTTACGAGAGTAATGACGCTCCTTCAATCCAGCTAGTCACCTGCCAGACAGTGACTGTGAAGGGCAGGATGGCTTCTGGCAGTTGGGAAGAACTGTCACCCGCAGCTCTATGCCAAGGCCAGGCAAGGTCAGCTGGGCTTACAGTAGGTGGATGACCTTCCTAGACCAGAGACAAGGCTATTTAAAGAAGCGCAGTGCTGAGCCAAATATCAGGGACCACAGGGCCAGCTTCCCCAGTGAGGCCCAGCTCTTCCTTCCCTGGGATTGTTCCTTCTGGCAAAGCAGACCTTGCAGCTGCTTCCGGTTAGCATGAATTAACATCAGTATTAACAGCACTGTACCTACCCCTGCACTGTACTTTCCAGACTATTATCTACTACAATAATTATAATATCAATAGTACAAATTATCACCGTATATTATGTGTATCTAAGACACTTATATTTGATATAATTGTATTTTCCATGGAGCCTATATTTAATTTAGGCATATAATATGCCAATATGTATTAATAAATACTATAGTAACACAACCACAACATATAGTAGATATATTCTCAATTCTACTTGGCAGTAACTCCGGCTCAGACACCACCCCACCCTGCCAGTGCCCACTTCACTGTATCAGAGCCCAGGCTGGCACCGTATCTACAACCGTTGAGTTCCTCCAGAGGGATAGCCTGTAAGTACTTAACAGTGGCATATCAACTTACCTCCACAGCAAATTATAGCAGCCACGAAAAGGGAAATGTCACTGTCGTCCAGTTCTAGGGCGTTGAACTTCATGGCAAAGTCAAACTTGGGTTCCATGATGTCACAGAACGGTTTCCTCAGGTTCTTCAGGAACTCCCGCGTGATGAAGCCATTGCCATACGCGATCAGCATCCCGTCTTTGTTCATCAGGGAGGACAGCATTGTGAAGATGGCTTCATACACACCATACTTTAACAAGGTTACTTGGTCATTCAGGTCCAAGTTTGCAAAGCCTGGGATGGCCTTGGCGAATTCGGTGAGCTCGGTGACGGTCTCCACGGACATGCACTGGCAGCAGTGGAAGATCCGCACTTCTGCCTCCTTATTTTGGATGCCATTGGCCACCATCTTGGCCACAAGTGTCTTCTCAGCCATGCACAAGGTCTCCATGTCATGTATGACGAAAGGCTACAAAGGAAGGTGCTAACGTCAATCAAGTGGCTACTCTATGACAAACTATGCAGTCCCCCTAAACATCAATGGACTCATGGGAAGCTACTGTGTCTAAGTCTCCAAGCTTGATGCTGGGCTGATTCAAAATACATGTGTAGTGCAGACCTGTAATTGGGCAGCTTCAAAATCAGACAATCAAGGACTTGGTAGAAAACTAACAAATAAGTCAGTAAGATAACAGTTGTCAGGGCCAGAGAGATAACTCAGCGGCCATTGCAGAGGATGTTGGTTTGATTTCCAGCACACAACCATTCCTAACTCCAGTTCCAGAGAATCTAATGATGACCTGTGTAGCACCAGGCAGGAAGGAGTGGAGCAGACATATATGCAGGCATGTATAAATATGCTTAACATGACTGGCTTTGTGTAGAAATAAACAGGCCTTGTTCAGCTCTGTAGAGTGGGAGCGGTACCAACTCCCAGTGCAGAAGACATGGGCCTCGCATCAGTGGGCTATCCTGGAACAAGGGCCAAATCCCAGGCTGACTCCCTCTGTGCTGCAGCACCATGGCACACACACCTGCGGGTCACCATGGCACACACACCTGCGGGTCACCATGGCACACATACCTACAGGTCACCATGGCACATACACCTGCAGGTCACCATGGTATTCACATCTGCAGGTCCACCATGGTATCCAAACCTGCAGGTCCACCATGGCATCCACACCTGCAGGTTTACCATGGCACCCACACCTGCAAGTCACCATGGCATAGGCATCCACACCTACAGGTCACCATGGCATCCACACCTGCAGGTCACCATGGCATCCACACCTGCAGGTCCACCATGGCATCCACACCTGCAGGTCACCATGGCATCTACACCTGCAGGTCCTGCCTCTTTATAAAGTCTAGTGAACCATCCAGCTTTGTCACTACTATGTAAGCAGGTGACAGTTACTCTGGATTGTCAGATTGGTGGTGAGATAAACCATAAGGACATTTATTTCCAGAGGTTTAACTGAGGTGGAAGAGCCTCCCTGAATGTGGGTGACACCATTCCCTAGGCTGGAGAGTCAGCACCTGTCATCCCTGATCCTGGCTGTAGCCACGATGTGCCCAGATGTCTCATGCCCCGTCATGCCTTCCCTATCACGATGGACCAGAGATAACATCAGCCCAACACCAACTTATGTTTGCTATGTATTCTGTCACAGTAACTGGGCAAGCAATAAATAAAGTGATCAAAGGAAACTGGCTATGAGATGCCAGATCTTTACAGCTACTGCCACACCATTCCCCGGAGACAAATGTGGAAGCAACAAGGATGGCCATTGACAGATGAATGACTATGCCAATAGAATATCATTCAGCCATAAAAAGACATCCTGGTATTTGTACCAAATGGAGGAAACCAAAGGACACATATACCATGTATTGTCTTTCATGTGGGTGCTAAAAACACTGGCCTCACAGGAACAGAGAGTAGGGAAGAGACTCCGGAGAGAAGGGAGACGGGAGAGAGGGGTCTGGTAATGCCATTGACTCCAGGTACATTGCATTTTTCATAAGGAGTTTACAGGGACTTTGGACTTTCTGGACACATGATAACTATTTAAGGAGGTGGACACACTGCTCTGATCTTATCGGCACACATTTTGTATTTACATCTGATTTTCAAATTATATCCCATAAATGTGTGCAATTTAAAAACATAAACCGTTTAAAAAAATTACTTGTGGCTGGGACAAACAGCTGTTTGCAGTCACTGTACCCAGGCAGATTAAATGTCAGGGACACTGAGAAGAGCCAGCATTTACCTCACTACTGGCCAGAACTCATAGTTGCCAAGCAGGAGTGACAGCATCAAGGGATCTGAATTTTTGGGACCATCTATAACACACATGTGCGTGCATGCGTGCACACACACGTAATGTCTACACTGAGTGAGCACAGGTCACTAATGAGGTAGCCAGTATTACTTCAATCCAGTGTATCTAACTGTAGAGCAGAAGCATTCCAGCTACGTAAGAAGAGCCTGGCCTCCCCCTCTATGCTGGGCTGTTAAGAGCATCTTCAGGAACCACAGAATAGAGGCATAGTCAAGACACCCGGGATGTGCCTGGTACAGAGGCAGGAGGATGTGTGGAGAAGAAGCAATTGTCTCTGAGGTGTTTAGGCAGAGCCTGAACTGGCAATATAGCACTGGACCAAAAAATCTGATTCTATATTAACAAAAGGAGATGCACTAAACATGACTCATTGTGGGGCTGGAGAAGTGGCTCAGAGGTTAAGTGCACGGCCTGCCTTCCGGAGTATCTGGTTCCACCAAGCACCCACGTGGTGATGTATGACAATCTGTAACTCTAGTTCCAGGGGACTGGAACCTTCCTTTTACCTCCGAGGGCATGACACACACGTGGTACAAAGATATACGTGCAGGCAAAAATACCCATACACTTAATAAAAAAATGACTCATGGACATTCTATGGGCAAAACTCAGAGGCAAGCCACTGAGTATCTCAAGTCAGATCGAGGCAGACAAAAAAAAGTTTCTCTAAGAGTCTTAACAACAGGTCTGAAGGTCTGATAACCACCTTCTTGTGGCTAATTTGGGGACAGTTATGCTTCCCAAAAGACCAACAGTGAAAGTCTGATTTAAGGGACTACAGAAATACAGTAGGTCTGTGTTTTTAGGGCAGGTGAGATAGCGTGGCGGGTGAAAGTGTGTGTTTCCAAGCCTGAAGACTTGAGTTTGATCCCTGGGACCCACATAACAGATGAAGACTGACTCTGTGGATTGTCCGCTGACCTCTGCATACATGCCTCCACATACACAGACTAAATTTAATATAATTCTTAATAATTAAAATTCAATGTCCATACTGAATGAGTATTTGTAATTATGGAGATTGTTTGTGCTGGGAAGGCTTCTCTACCACAGAGAGAACTCTCGGCCCTGAGACTTTTTCCTCTTGTCATTATTGCCCAGACACTTTCAGCATAATGGTCATTTCCACAGCACTCACTCCGTCAGTGTTATAAGACACCAGAGTGAGTTGAGTTTAGGGAGGATGTATGTGTGATTCTCTGTGATGCTGTGGTATCTTAAAAAAAAGAAAGGGGGGGAGGGCTGGAGAGATGGCTCAGCAGTTAAGAGCACTGGCTGGTCTTACAGAGGTCCTGAGTTTAATTCCCAGCAACTGCAAGTGACTCACAACCATCTGAAGTGAGATCTGATGCCCTCTTCTGGGATTAAGGAGTACATGCAGATGGCACACTCAGATAAAAGTAAATAAATACCCCCCCTTTTTTTTTAAAGAAGAGGGGGTTCTTGAGCATGAATTTGTAAGTAAGATACCTGGCAACTTGGCTTTTGGTTTAGCCCATAGAATGTCAGTCATTTTTTAAATTATCTTATGTGTATGGGTATTGTTGCCTTATGTACATCTTTTCACCACGTGTGTGCAGTGCCCTTGGAGGTAGAAGCAACTCAGGCCCCCTGGGACTAGAGTCCTTTATAAGAGCTGCTGTGGTCATGGAGATTCTTCCCAGCAAGAGAACACCGACCGGAACAGCAGCATCACCTTCACTCTGAGCACTGTCTTTTCCTAACATGCACTCAGCAGAAAGAAAAGTGGGAAGCAAGCAAACACATAGTCAAGATTTAGAGAAGCACAGTGAGTAGGGCAGGGACCTCCTGGAGACTTTGACATGCCAAATGTATGCTGGGCTCTTCCAGAAGGGGGCTGTGGCGAGTGCTGCCTTCCTGGGGGGCTTGATGATTACTGGTGGGCATCTCCAAGGGCTAGGGCAGCCTCAGCTACACAAACAGCTCACAGGGTGAGGCAAAAGAAACAAAAGACAATTAAGAATTCTCAGCAGTTAAGAAGGAAGCACTGTTCTTGCAGAGAACCTGCGTTCAGTTCCCAGAACCACATTGGGAAGCTGACAATGTCTGAAACTCCAGCTCTAGTGCCCTCTTCTGGCCTCTGTGGGCACCTCCATTCATGTGCATGTGAGCACATGCGCGTGCTCGTGCAGACACAGACACACACACACATACACACACATGATTAAAAACACAATCACTTTAAAAATTCCAAGTCGGTTGGGCATAGAGGCACATGCCTATTATTCTAGTACTTTGAGATACAAGGGTCCCGTGAGTTTAAAAGCAGCCTGGGCTAGTGAGACATTGTCTCTCACACAAAAAAGCTAGGCACAGCAGCACCGGCCCTAAATCACAGCACTAGGGAGGCCAGAAGGTCTCGGTGAATTCAAGGCTATTCTGGTCTAAAGAGTAAGTTCCACACCAGCCAGAGCTAGACGGTGATGCCCAGAGGACAGGTCAATATTGTGATTAGACTTTATTTTTTAAGATTTATTTAATTATGAATTTAGAGTTTAGTGTATGTGTGTGTGCGCATGCAAGAGAGAAAGAGAGAGAGAGAGAGAGAGAGAGAGAGAGAGAGAGAGAGAGAGAGAGAGAGAGAGAAAGAGAAACATATGCATGCAGGTGCCCAAGTAGGCTGGAAGAGGCTAGCAGATGCTCTCTTACTGGGGGTACAGGCAGTTATAAGCTGCTAAACTATCTCTCTGGCTCTAACATCTAGACATCTAAGATGTTTCCAATTCTGCCCCTTTCAAATCAGGCAGGAAAACATCCCAAGAAATGTTTTAGCCCTATCACCAGAGGTCCTGGCCATTTTATGGCTCCTGTGTCTGCACTCCCAGGGGCTCAAATCAGACCCAGGGTCCAGACAGAAAGCAATGGTTTCATTGGTCTCCTCAGTCCTTCCCTCGGGTAAGCTCACCTCCCCCCACAGCTGCCTTTAGACCTTAGCGGAATCCAGCCTCCAGGTCCCCATTCCCCAAGCAGCTCCAGATGGCTCTGAGCCGCCACTTCTTCCGATGGGTCCTTTACAAAGTGGGACTTGACCTCGACTTTTAGCAAACCAGGGACTGCTTGGCTATACCATCGAACAAGCATTGCTGTCTCCTGGTATGGTGTGTGGCGTCTGTGACTGCGCCTGCCCTAGCTGGCCTGCAGGACAGCAAGACTGTGCTGCACTGTTGGCGTGAAAGCCCATCTCCCCACTTCACAAGTTCACATGCATCACATCCAAGCACTTTAAACTGCTTACCAGCTGAAACGCAGTTTTTGGGCTGCACTGATGTTCTGCTGGGATCTTGCTGGGGCTGTCATCCCAGCCTTGAACCTGACAATCACTGAGCCTTGTGCCATGGGACACAGGTCAAACTGAGTGCACCAGGGTTACAGCCTAATCTCCCTAAAGGGACTCTCAGCTTCGAAATATCATAAAACATGGGGTTGGAGAGACGGCTCAGAGGTGATGAGTGCTTGCTGCTCTTGAAGACTGGGGTTCAGTTCACAGCACCCACACAGTGGTTCACAACCACCTGTAACTCCAGTTCCAGGAAATCCAATGGCTTCCACAGGCTTCTGCAGACATGTGGTACACAGACATACACTCAGGCACATTCAGGCACACTCATACACATACACACACAAATATGCTTGCACATACATGCACATGCACGCAAAATAAATTTTTAAAATCTTGTAAAATGCACAGCCTACAGTCTCTCAATACAACTGCAGCAATGAAACCACGGTTCTGCAGAGGTGCTAGGGTAGCGAAGTTGGTGGCGGGCACTCTGCCACCTGGAAATGTCCCAGGCTGGGCACAGACGGAAGAGGAAAGATGGGGTCTCACACTGGACCAGCAAGTTCTGGGAAGCTGGCCAGTAGTCTGGGCAGGAAGAGAAGAAGGCCCAGCCTCTGAAATGACATGAGACCTGAAGGTAGGAGGTACCTCTGGCCAACAGAGGGGTCAAAAGCAGTTGGATATTGCTTCTAAAGCTGGTCCCTGCATAGAGATTTGTGGCTGAAGCAGGCAGTTAGCTGCCATAGGTCGTTAATTTGGTGGTGTGTGTAATGTTTGTGGTGTGTATGTAATGCTTGTGGTGTGTGTGTGTGCGTGTGTGTACATGTTTGTTCGGTGCACTGGTGCACTGAAGGTGCAGGTGGTGGCCAAAGGTGGGCATTGGTTGTCTTCCTCAGCCAGTCTCTAATTTTTTGAGACAAGGTCACTCACTGAACCTGGAGTTCACTGATGTAGCTAAGCCCGCTGTCCAGAAAGCTCCAGCATCCTCCTGTCTCTGCCTCCACGGTGCTGGTATTACAGAAATGCATGACCACATCTGGCTTATTATGTATGAGCTGGGGATCCAAAATCAGGTCCCTAGACACGGCCGAGCTCTCTGAGCCAGCTCCCAACCCCTCCCCCATCCTGTCTTTGTAATATAGCGGCCCTCAGCCCTGCATCATTACTCTGGCATTCATTTCCACACGACTCTTGATTTCCTCAAGACGGAGGACAGTGGGACCCTTCCTCCTAAGAACCTTGTGGAATCTGGTAAAGAAAGCAGAGGCACCTCAGTAGGGATTTAATCAATATTCCAGGTATGAATAAAGCCGACTCTTATGTTGACTATAAATCTCAGAGTTTGAAGGAGAAATAGAAGGTCTCCAATGGAAATTCTGATTTCCCTCATTTGGGGTCATCATGATAGAAATGCAAACTTTACCCTGTGAGCCAGAAAAGGTTCTAAATCAACCGTTCTCAACCTCTGGGTCAGGACCCCTTTCGGGGTCGCATATCAGATATCCTGAATATCAGATATTTACATTATGATTCATTACAGCAGCAAAATTACAGTTAGGAAGTAGCAGCAAAATAATCTTATGGTTAGGGGTCACTACAACATGAGGAACTGTATTAAGGGGTCGCAGCATTAGGAAGATTGAGAACCACTGCTCTAATTGGAAAGGGTCTCTGGGGTCACCCGGTGTGGAGTTTACTGGAACCTTCTAAGGTGTCCCAGCCCATCTCACTGGAGAATTCACCAAAGAATTAGAAGACTCAGTAAAAGAGAGGTGAGGTTTGTTGATTAAAGTGTATAGCTTGTGAAATCCTCCGTTTTCCTGTGACTAAAAATTCTTGCTTGTAATTCCCAGTGAGGAAGGCTCCAAGCTATTCATTAGCACAAATTAAACCTGTCGTACCAGGCAAGAGTCTTTCTGTGCCAAGTGAGGACTGGCCCCTCTGTGGAAATGGCTCTTGACGCCCTTCTACAGTGTACACAGGCTTATCCTTCTGTGGGAACAGTGGGTCATGAGCCCGGCAACTGTTACAGGAGCTGCAGATGTAGGGGCGAGCTGACATAGGAGGTCAACAAAGGCCCCTCCCCGAGACCTGAGCCATCAGAGTGAAGGAGAAGCAAGAAGGTGACAAGGAAGGCAGGTTTAGCTTAGCAGAAGAATGAGTGATTTGAGTCGGGAGGGAATAGGTTTCATTTCTGGCCTTAAAATAGGGATTAAAACACACTTAAGAAACACCCCGATACTGGGTAAGGAATTAACTAGATTATTTTTGGCGTATCAATTACATAGCCTTTATAATGTCTCGGTTGCTAGGAGCTGAGGCGAGCCCAGACAGGAAGGCAGCTGTTGGTGTCTTAGAGCCTCAGAATAAGCTGTGTATTTCCATGGCTCTTCCTTGGACTTTGGGATAAATTCTTTTTTTCCAACATCAGACAATGTTCTCAGACATTCCCTGTGACCCCAGCTGACATCACCAAGGGATACACCAAGGTTCTGAGGGCAGCAGGAGCACCTACCGGGTTATTGCTGGTCTTTCCTGCCAGGATGACCCGGGCCTTGACCTTGTTCATGTTGAAGTTCTTCAGGTAGGCCTCGTGGATTCTCCTGGCCAGAGATTTGAGGTCTGCAGTCTCCGAATCTTCCAGATCATGTTCACATGTAAGAATTTCTGCTTTCAGTTTTGCTTTCTCAGATCTTGGCATCCGCCCAAAACGAATCGCTGGAGTTGGAATGGGATGGGACAAGGGGAGATGCAGAAATGACCAAGGCGTGTGATGACCAAGGCAGAGGCCACACCAGGAATGACGAGCTAAACCCATTCCTTATTATGACTGAACTTTTTGCGAGGCAGACTAAAGGCCAACCACAGAGCTTATCAGTGGGGTAGTTTACTGTCCTCAGGTAGGCCATCGGCCAAAGTGAAGGGGACTGAAAGCAAACCTATGTACTATCTATATCATCTGACTATCAATCCAATCATCTGTCCATTTATATACATCATCTGTCTATCAATCATCTGTCTGCCTATCATCTACCTATTAATCATCTATCTATATAGCTATCTATGTACTTATAATCATCTGCCTATTTCTCTCCTTCCTACCCTCCCTNCCCTCCCTCCCTCCCTCCCTCCCTCCCTCCCTCCCTCCCTCCCTCCCTCCCGGGTCTCATATAGTGCCTCATCCTGGCCTCCAACTAACTATATAATGGAGGATGACCTTGAACTCCTGAGACTCTTGCTTCCACCCCTCAAGTACTCAGATTACAGGCCAGGTCTACATGGTGCTAGGAACCCAGTGCCTCATGCGTGCCAAAGCACTCTACCAGTTGAGATATATCTCCAGCTCTATTTTGTATTTTTTGAGACAGGGTCTTTCTATGTAGCCCATGCTGGCCATGAAGTTACCAAACTCTTCTTGCCTCAGCCTTCTGAGTGCTGGGATTACAGGCATGTACCACTGTGTCCGTGCTCCTAGTACTCCTTGGAGACAGAGGCAGGTGTATCTCTGTGAGTTCAAGGCCAGCCTGGTTTATAAAGTGATTTCCGTACCAGCCAGGGATGGGTAGTAAAACCCTCAACTTAAAATTAATTAATCAATCGATTGATTGGTTGGTTGATTTACATTCACTGGGTACCATGTTCTAAATTAGATTATGGCTGAGAAAACAAAACTCACAGTAAGGCACAATGTTTGAATGAACCTACATTTAACAGAAGTGATGTGACATCGTGCCTTCCCCCCCCCCCCCAAGTTGACAGCAAAGTCTTACCACAGTATTTTCAAGTGCTCTGCCAAATACGAGCTGCTGGAGATCTTTACATGTTACAGCACAGCCACCCAAAATATAGGAGAATAAACTGAGTCACGGGCTGACATGGTGTGCCCAGCAGCCTTACCTACCATTGTGTGACATTCCAACAGACAGGCACTTGTGGAAGCGGCAGTACTGGCACTTATTCCTGTTCTTTTTCTGAATCTTGCAGCTCCGGTCACATTTGTCGTACACCAGCTTTAGCCGAATAGTTCGCCGAAAGAAGCCCTGTGATATGGCCACAAAATTGACATAAAGAACATGGGTTCTGGGTAAGTCACCAGCCTGGTGTCACTCGGCTTTCTTGTGCATTTGACTGACTAGCTTGTTTTAAGACAGGATCTCGTGTAGCCCAGCTTGGCTAAGAGCTTGCTCTGTGCCCAACGATGTCCTTGAACTCTTGGTCTTCCTGCTTCCACACTTCCACCTCCCAAGTGCTGAGACCACTTGGCTGAGCACCATCATTCCTGGCTTTGTGGGGTGCTGGGGATCCAACCCACGACTCCATGCATGCTAGGAAATTACTCTACCGGCTGAGCTACACCCAGCCTCACTGTCTCTTTACAAAGAAACAACATGTTGAAGTTCTAGTCATGTAAACTGGGGCAAATTAAAAAATGTGCATCTCACTGCACTGAAGATGGAAAATAATGATCTAAGGCAGAATTCAAAGCGATCTTAGAAAGACCCTACCTGACTGGGGAAGAGGGAATGGTAGTTTCTTGGGCCACAATACCAACTCCTGAAGAGCAGACACTATAGCAAGAGGGAACCAGTTATTTGAAAGCAACACCCTTACTTTATAGCAGCATTGGGGCTTCACCCAGGAAGAAAACAGCGTGAGCCCATAAAAGCCAAGACTAAGAAAAGCGATTGGACATGACCTCGACAGAAAGCCCTGCTACAAGTCGTGCTTTTAAAGGGACGTGGAAGGAAAACTCAGAAAAGAATTTATCTTAGCTTTTGATCCTTTGCTTTTGAGTGCCCCCTCTACTTGCCTGACATGGTGGACTCTTATGGCCCACGCAGAAGGGATCAGGCCTTTATTGGGATGGGAGGATTGGAAGGAGTAGCTTCTTCATCTAGGCATGTGAGGCAGAATGGAAGAAAGATGTGTGGAACGGCAAGGAAGGGTGAGAAGCAAGGACAGTTAACGCCAGGGGCCACCAGGCCCTGGATCTGGGCTTATTGTTCCCATGCACCAGGCCCACCTGAAGACAAATGACAGGGCTTCAAGAATGATGTATAGGAAGGAAAGTCTGCGATATTCCCTCAGAGCCTGGATACTTCCGGAAGGTACTAGAAAGGGAGCCTGTGGCTTCTAAGCAAACAAGTGCATCTCTCAATTCCACATATGGCGTTCATGGAAGTGACAGACTTGAGAATGTATGGGCAGCAGAAGGGGACTCGCTTCGTGTATGTGGGGCCTGGGTCCTGACTATCTAGAGGTCAAGTTGACTCTTAAGAGGATAGAGATACTCAGGAGGGTGCAGGTGGCTAGAAGGACAGGAGTATGTGCCAGAAGCGACCAGTGGGGGTCAGTTACAATAGCAGGAGAGCCAGACACTGTGGACTCTGAGCAAGGGGCAGGACACGTCTGATGGCCAGCCCCTTGCTCAATGCATGGTAACCTCTGCCCTAGCTGGCCCCTGGGGAGGTCAGGAGGCTGTAGGTAAACACACCCCACTGCATGGTCACCTCTGCTCCAGCTGGCTTCTGAGGTGGTCCCGAAGTAAAGTACGGAGCCTATACTTTGTGTCATGGGAGGAGACATTTTTAAAGCAACTGTGTTTGGTTTCCCTGTTTTTTTTTTTGTTTTTTTTTTTTTGTTTTGTTTTTTGTTTTGTTTTGTTTTGAAGGATGCATCCCTCTAGAGTATTTACAAATCACAGCAAAGCAACCTGCCCTAGATTCTCCAAAGAGTAGCCAACCTGCCACTGAGGCCAGTCCTCTGCCCTTTCTGTAGGTCTCAGAGTGGTGGGCATCTTGCAGAGGAGCAAAGTCATCGACTCATGTGGCTACCTCCCCCTCCACCCAGGGCCTCTGTACCTTGCAGCCTTCACACGCATGGACTCCGTAGTGGTAGCCTGAGGCCTTGTCCCCACATATCCGACACTCAATGTTGAGTGCACCGCCAGGGGACTCATCCGTGCTGGCGGGGATCACAGGGCAGCTGACTGAGGAGGGGCTGGAAGCTGGAGAGAGTGTGTCTGCGAAGAAGAGGAAAGTGTGTGAGACTTGAGGTGCTACGACCCATGTCAGAACTGGATCCCTGGGAAGATGATTTGGAAGTAGTCAGGGGACCTGGGATGGGGGCAGGTGCCCGTCTTGAATCAGCCCTGCCTCTGGCCACACACTGCCAGTAGTTACCATGGTGCCCCCATTCCTGAAGCTCATGTACACTAGCCGGCTTCCTCATACCCTGTCTCCAGTTCTTCAGAGGCCATGTTATGAGAGAGACCTCCATGTGGGCCCCAGCCTCCCATGCCACATGACCAACACAGAGCTGGTGTTTTCCAGTCTTGTTGTCCCTGTTACTCAGTGGCACCAGAATATGGCCTGATGATTCAGAGAGCTGAGAGCGAGAGTTGAGAGAGAAGAGGAGAGTGTGCTGAGAATAAGGCAGAAAAAGAGATTGAGCGAGAAGAGAGGAGAGACGGCAGAAAAAGGAGAGAGAGAAAAAAAGTTGGGGAGAAAATACTTCTAAAAACTCACTTGATTAAAGTCTTGGGTCTAAAAGATATAAAGAAGTCTTAAAACCAAACAATAGAAAATAACACATATAAAAAGCACCAATAAACCAAAAGCATCAAAAGCATCAATAGAATAATACATACTTTGCCCCAAAAGACAGACCGATGAGGAGTGTGTCACTGTCATGAGCGGACTGCGAGTTAAAACCACAGTGACCGTCACCGAACACCCATTAAATGAAATGTATTTGAAACTGACAGCAGAATTGCCAGCAGGGTTGTGGAGTGGCTGCTGTCACTCATGGCCAGTGCACTCGTAGAACGAAAGGGACGGCCTCTTTTAAAGCAAAACAGTCGTAGGTGAGAACAATTGCATCTCTGGTTACTCACCCACCTGACTTGGGAACAGGTCCACACAAAAATCAATGTAGACTGTGTATGATGTGTATGCCATGGCGTGCTATGACATGCATATGGAGGTCAGGGACAACTTGGTGTCAGCTATCGCCTTCCACTTTGTTTGAGGCAGGGTCTCTCTCCTGTTGTTTACCTCTTTGTACACCAGGTAGCTGGCTTAGCTTGTGAGCTTCTGGGGAGGCTCTTGTATCTGTCCACCTTTTTCTCCATGCAGTATGGAGATTGTGGACCCAGCCTACTATATTTGGCTTCTTTTATTTTTTTTCAAACATATTTTTTTTTAATTTATTTATTATTTATCAGTCTATTATGTATTCAGTGTTCTGCCTGCATGTATATCCCTGCAGGCCAGAAGAGGGCACCAGATCAGGTGGTTGTGAGCCACCATGTGGTGGCCGGGAATTGAACCCAGGACCTCTCAACCCCTGAGCCATCTCTCCAGCCCCAAACATATGTTTTTAAGTTTTGAACTCAGGTCCTCATGCTTACATGGCAAACACTTTTACCTATGGAACCATTTCCCTGGCCCAGTAGTTTCATACTTAATTGCTAAGAATTGGAAGTAGTCAGATTAATTAAGCCTGACATCCTGCATTCCATCCCAGGAGCTCACAGTGGAAGGAAGAGAATTAACACATGGAGGTTGTCCTCTGTCTTCCACAGACACACCACACGTGTACACATATGCTCCTACACACAGAGAAAGGAAGGAAGGGAGGGAGGAAGGGAGGGAGGGAAGAAGGAAGGAAGGAAGGAAGGAAGGAAGGAAGGAAGGAAGGAAGGAAGGAAGGAAGGAAGGAAGGAAAACCATAACAAACCAACTCTAAAAAGACAGCCTAGCAGCTGATCCCAGGGAACTGCCCTGGCAGGGCCAGGAATATTCATTACTGTTCTTGCCCTGCAGAGTGGATGCTCCCAACCTGGAGTGTACTTACTGCTTTGGCAGTGAGGAAGTCACCTCTAGAGTAGAGGCTATATGGTTCCATCTAACAAAGCTAGAAGCAAGACCCAAAAGGATCAAACATTTCACAGTCACTTAACTGCATCTCTGAACAAAGCCTGGGCATGCTTATTGGAATGCAAACTCCACCACACAACAGAGCTCGCAGTGTGTGCCACTCAATTAAAAAATTACAAGGCATACAAGCAGAAATCTTGGCTCGTGATGAGAAGAGAAATGAATGAAAGAGACCCAGAAGTGTCATAGATGATAGAATTTGCCTCCAAGACATTAAAAAGTTATTCTGACCATACCCTAAAAAGCAAGATGGAAGACTGTGTGTGTTGGATAAAAACGAAGGTTCAAAGAATAGATCCTGGTGCTGGTTATGAAAACTATAATATCTGCTGTGGACAATAAACCAGGGTGACTAGACGCTGCAAAAGAAAAGATTGGCAAAGTGGAAAACACAGCAATAGAAACTATCCACAGTGAAACACATACGCACAAACACACGAGAGAGAGAAAGAGAGAGAGAGAGAGAGAGAGAGAGAGAGAGAGAGAGAGAGAGAGAGAGAGAGAGAGAGAACACAACAGCATTAGCTATGGGAAGGAAGAGCGAAGCTGTTAAGAAATCTTCAGGGTTGCCGGGTGGTGGTGGCGCACGCCTTTAATCCCAGTACTCGGGAGGCAGAGGCAGGTGGATCTCTGTGAGTTCGAGACCAGCCTGGTCTACAGAGCTAGTTCCAGGACAGGCTCCAAAGCCACAGAGAAACCCTGTCTCGAAAAACCAAAAAAAAAAAGAAGAAGAAAAAAAGAAAAGAATAAAAAAGAAATCTTCAGGCCCAGATGACTTCATCTATGAAATCAACAAAGCATTCAAGGAAATCCAAGTATCAATTCTGTAGACAGAGACTGCTTGTTCATTTCCTGGCTGCCCTGATCCAAATAATCACACAGAAACTATATTAATTACAACACTATTTGACCTTTTAGCTCAGGCTTCTTATTAACTAACTCCTACATCTTAAACCAACCCATTTCTACTAATCTGTGTATTGCCAAGGGGCTGTGACTTACAGGAAAGGTTCCGGCTGTGGTTCTTCTTCAGCAACTATGTGGCATCTCTCTAACTCCATCTTCTCTCTCTCTCTCTCTCTCTCTCTCTCTCTCTCTCTCTCTCTCTCTCCCTCCCTCCCTCCCTCTCCCTCTCCCTCTCCCTCTCCCTCTCCCTCTCCCTCTCCCTCTTCCAGCCTAGCTATATTCTTCCCTGATACAGGCTGAAGCAGCTTCTTTATTAACCAATGGTAAACATATTTAAAACATACAGAGGGGAATCCCACATCACAATTCTCCAGGAAAACTTCCAGGAAACCAAAAAAGAGAGAACACTTCCTCCTTTCACAAGGCAAGAATCAATCTAAGACCAAAGTCAGACAAGGATATTTCAAAAATAAAAACTAGCATCCCCTTAATAGAATATTAGACAATTAAACTGTTTACCAAGAGTAAGGGACATTAGGACAAATTAACATTTTTTTCCACTGGAATGCAAGGTTAGTTTAACTGTCAACATATGCAATTCACTGTATAAATAAACTCCAAGGGACTGGGCGGTGGTGGTGCACACCTTTAGTCCCAGCACTCGGGAGGCAGAGGCAGGCGGATCTCTGTGAGTTTAGTGCCAGACTGGTCTACAGAGTGAGCTTCAGTACATCCAGGGCTACACAGAAATCTTGTCTTGAATGAATATATATACATACACACACAAACAAACTAAAAGGAAGCTTTTTGATCATCATCCTAGCACATAAAAATAATTTCCCCAAACCTAACACCAATGCCTAATAAAAGTTCACAGCAAGCTGGGACAAGAAGGTAACTCCAGCAGCCCAAGAGGAATGCTGTTAGTGGGCACGTAAGAGAAACTGTAGCCAGCACACTCTACGGCAAAGGTGGTTTTCTCATGACCAGTACTAAGAAGAGGCATCACCGTTCCCACCTAACATCGTGCTGGAAGTTCTAACCAGTGTAACAATATGGAAAAGGGAAATTAAAGAGACCCATCTTGAAAAGGAGGAAGCAAAGCTGCCTCTGTGGCAGATGATATCATTATTTACAAGAACAACTTAAAGAACCTATATTTAAAAAGTCACTGGAACTAAGTTTAAAAATTAACATTCAAAAATGATTATACGCATATATATATGTATATGTATATATATGTATATGTAGCACCGAATAACCAGAACTTAAAATACAAAATAATCAATACCACTCATTTATAATCAGGTTAAAAGTATAAAATGCTTCCATATAAATCTGATACAATATGTGAAAAGCCTACACATGAGACTGAATAACACACGGGCAAAGAACCTGAAGAGGACCCAGATATGAGAAACACGACTGTCAGAGATCAACAGGAAAACTCAGGTCAGGAAGATGTCAATTCTCCCCAAACTGACTACACACATAACTCTAATGAAAAAACTCAGCTGCCTTGACTGACTCGAGTAATTAGGGCTAGGAAATAGCTCAGTGAGTCTGGCTCCCAGCATATATTTCAGATTGCTTACATCTATCTCCAATTCCAGCTCCAGGGGAATACAATGCCTCTCACCACCATGAGTACCTGCACTCACATGTATAACACACACACACACACACACACACACACACACACACCTGGACCAGAGAACTTATCTGGGGGCACTGGGCAATTGCACAGAGATCTACTGTGAACGGTTGCACAAGGCTCTACCCACGTATCTGCATTCTTCTCTTGGATGAATACATAGGAGTGGAAGGACTGGAGAATGGAGCAGATGACTGTGTGAGTTCTCAGGAGATGCCAGCACCATGGGATTGGCATCCAATGAAAGAAATGGATGGAGCTGAGCAAAAGCCTAGAAACAGACCTACAATGTCCACTGATTTCAGAGGCACACAGACAACAGCGTGCTCTTGTCAGTGACCTATGCCCAAACAACCGTGAACGAAAGAGAAAGTGAGAAGAAACTTTGATCTGTATATAAAAATTAAGTCGATGAACATAGGACTTCAATGTAAAACCTAAAACTTCTCGAAGATGTCCAAGTAAAGATGTCTTAAATATGACACAAGACCCATGTCACCAAAAGAAGGACACTGATGAGCTGGACTTGGTCAATTAGGAACTGGTTTTCATTGAATGACACAGATAATGAAAAAGACAAACTTCAGGCTGGAAGTATTTGTAGACCATTTACCTGAGGAAGTCCTTGTATCCAGAATACATATAAAATTTCTATTATCAGTATAAGAAAATACACAACCCAAGTACAAAGTGGGCAAATGATTTCACCAGAAACTCTACCAAAACAGTTACAGGACAAATCATCACATGAAAAGATGCAGCACCAGAGAGGAGCAAACTAAAACGACCCCCACGGAGCATTGTGGCTCTCCCGCAAGGATGGCTAAGGCATCAAAGAGTGGTCACCTTCCACAGATGAGCCCGCGAGGAGCTGAACTGCCACATTGATGGTGGGGACAGCACTTTAGAAAGCGTTTTGGCATCTCCTGAAAACACGCACGCACACACACACACACACACACACACACACCTGCCCTGCTACCTCAGCCCTTCCTATGTATTTACCCAAGAGAAGAACACAGGTGTCTGGACAAAGCCTTGCCTGGATGTATTCACAGTGGTTCTCAATGCGGGAGCTGGGAACTGTCCACAGCTCCAGTGTTCTCAGGCAGACACATGGAGACAGAAAGAACATCATGTCGGGCAGTGCACAGCACCGAGGGAAGAAGGGGTACAGAACCACCACGCAGAGGTGCCACCAACAGATCTCAGAGAGTATAGAAGGTGGTCTAGGAAGAGTCATGTGTTTAGAGAAAATTCCAGGCAACACACACTAGCCGACACAACACACACATAAAAGCCTACAGTGCTAGAAAACATATCAGAAGTCATGTGGTAGAGAGGAAGGAGGGCATTGCAGGGGAAGCACCAAGCTGACTCTGATGGGTGCAGTCATTACTTTGATTGTAATGATGGTTTCAGAGAGACAGACAGACAGATGGAGAGAGAGAGATTCTTTTTAAAAGTCTTAAATACTCTGAGGAAAATACACATCTAGGAAGATCTTTCCAGAAAGCAGCACTTACCTGTGATGACAGAGCTCTCAGAACCTGGACAGCTTCCTAAATATTGGTAGTCTGTGAAACTAAAGCTTCCAGAACTCTCTTCCCCGAGGGACTGAGAAATCTCTTGAATGTTTCCCATTTCTTGTAAGAATTCTTCTGATAAGGGACTCTCCAGGTCATCCGTCTCAAGTGGAGAGAGGGGACAGATGGGGCTCTCTGTGTCCACCATGTTGGCTGGAAGTGGCCAGGCAGGCCACAGAGCGTCGACCTGTGGGACAAAAATAGTCAGAAGAGCATTCCCTTTCTGCTCCGAAACGAACACCACTTATCCTCGAAGGGCTGTCTGAGTTCAAATCTCAGCAGTGGCAGCATTGACTCTCCACCCTTGACATTTGAAATCACAGTGATGCGTTCTCTAAACGGGGTCTGGAAAGATGGCTCAGCAGCTGAGAGCACTTGCTGCTTTTGCAGAGGATCTGGGTTCGATTTCCAGCACCCGCATGGCAGCTCACAGCCACCTGTAACTGTGGTTCCAGGGAACTCAGACCTTTATGGGCAACAGGCAACATGTTTGGTGCACACGTATAGACCCAGGCTAAATTCTCAAACATATAGATACATATTTTAAAATCTCCAAACAACAAATATAGAAAGAGTCAAACTGTACGCAAAGGTCAACCCTTCATTGCTTACTGACTGTTCACTACACATGCACTCGGCTTTCCAGCCATGGACAAAAACACAATTCACGTTCCCTGAAACATGCCTTCCAATGGGGACATGGGTAGGGGCCAACTGAATGGGATGTTTGGTGGGGGTGAGAGACATGAGCAGGAACAGGTGAAGCAAAGATGCCTCACACCCGGAAGCCTCAGAAGGATGTGCTGTTCTGGAGAAGAATATTCCAGAACGAAGAATGTTCCAGTACCAAGTGCTGGTATATGCCAGCACATTCTAGGATCAGCACGGAGGCCACCGGGCTTGGTTAAGGGGCACCAGGAGGGAAGGCTGGCGCAGTCAGCAAGAGTGTTGTGTGTTATTCACTCTTGGGTGTTCTTCTGTAGATGTGAAGGGCAGTCAACTGTAGACAGTATTAGAAAAACTACACAGTACCAAGTGCTTTGTGGAGTTTTAAGTGAGTCCCAGGCAACTCCAAACTCCACTTACCTGCAAGCAAAAATCAGTGCCCCTATGATAAGTACACTCTCCATAATCTCCAATGACTTCCTGTGATCTCCAGGTCAAAGTCCAATCCCTCAGTGTGTCAGTCCAGCCCATGGAAATACAGCACACTAGGCCTCTTGGCTTTGCTATTTCACCTTGGCAGCTTTGCCGGGACCGCCCACTGCTGCCTTCAGTAGGCCCGACTTACAGCCCACCTAAGCCTGACAGGTCACCAAGCACCCAGCCAGACTGACTAGACGGCATTCAGCTTCCTGACCTGTTTTTCCATCTAGAAGTAGTCCCAGAGCAAGCCTCACAGAGAACACCACAGCTCACGTCGCAGAGAAGGCCAGAGTTGCTGCAGACTAGCCAGGCTGTGGGCTCCAAGTGAAGCAGCTCCTGCCATGCTGTGACCACAGAGAGCCCGTGTCTTCTGAAGAGCACTTCCAACTCCCAGAGCACTGAACACACACACGTGCACTGGCAGCTCCACATTCTCCCACTTGCCAAACGTCAACAGACTTCTCAAGCGCAAAGAGAAAGGGGTGTTTGGGCTTCCTCAAGGAACGAAAAATGGGTACAACGATATATTTTTGTGAAAATTCACATCTCAGGCTTGGAGCCCTAACAAGTTATCACAGGTAATCATTGTAGACAGGGGGAAACAGTAAAGAATCGTCATCATGGGGCTGGGGAGATGGCTCCGCTGGTAAAGTGTTTGCTGTCAGGGTTGAGGCCCTGGGTTCACTCCCCATCGCTGACAGACAAAGCCAGGCATGGCAGTGTGCACCTACAGTCCCAGGACTGAATAGGCAGAGGCAAGAGGATTCCTGGGGCTCCCTGGCCCACTAATCAAAAAGCTGCATCCAAGTTCAGTGAGACTGTCTCAAAAGACAAGGTAGAAAACAATATCAGGAAGACAACTAATGGTAACCTAAACACACACACACACTCCATACACACACACACTCCACGCACACATATACATCAACCACACGCACACCACAAGCACACCATACACACACCATACACACCACACACACCATACACACCACACACACAGAAACACACATACCACACACACACACACACACACACACAATTTTAAGTATTGTAGGCTAAAGATGGTCTTCTGCTTTCTGTCCATGTATGCTATGCCACAAATCAGTGCCTACTTTTTTATTTGGAGCGGCGGTGCAGGGGATGGAATCCAGGGCCTCCTGCATGCCCAGCACAGCTACCACCCCAGCCTGTAGACACACTTTATTTTGTATTGTATTGAAAGGAGTAGTTCTCTAGTTGGCAAGCCAGATAGCAGAATGATAAGCATTACATAAGGTATTTTTCATCATGAACAAAATGTTCAAAAGCCACAATCATGAGGTCAGACATAAAGTTCATCCCCATGAAAAGGCCAGAACAGGGCAAAGTCTGTACTAGGGAAGGGCTGTGTCCTCTCCTTTTGCTGTCCCTGTCACTGACAGCAGCCTTTATTCCCACACACCAGGAGCACTGGGCTAAGGCCACGAGCTGGTTTCCTTGTCATGACCTTCAGGGAGCACCAGCGTTTGGGAATTGTGTGATTTGACTCATTGGTGGCTTTTAAAGAGTAACTGGGTTTATCTAGAGAAACGCTGGTCTTTCCTTTCATGAGATAGCTGGGATAATACCTCTTCATGAGTGGGGCAATCCTGACGTGAACTCTGACCGCTGGGCCTGGCACCGCACAGAACACATAAGTCCTTCTTGACTCCAAGCAGGGCAGATAAAAGCCTTTCCTTTTCAATGAGTCCCCCAGATAGATAACAGAGGTCACATGGGCACACCCCAACATGCTCACCCTGAGGTTCCCAGCATACCCTGGCATCCTCGCTTACTCTGATTAGGAGCAAAAACATCCGGACAATCCTACCACTGACTGTGTCCAATACCCACAGTTCACTACCATTGATGGTTCACTAAGAAGAGCAGCCAGTGGCTGTCTGTGCCCTGTGCCCCAGATGTCCCAGAAGGATAGAAAAATGAGAAACAATCCCCTATCTCAGCAGTAACCGCTGCTGGGACCTTTTATTTTCTCTGGTGGGTGTGTATGTGTGTGTGTGTGGTTAATATTTGAATTAAGTAACAAAAATATTCCATTGGAAATTAGGAAGTTAACTATTTGAAAACTCTAGAACATTCAATAAAAAGGAAACAAAAGAAACAGACGCACAGTTTCATGTTAGGACAAAACAAAGCATATGAGAACTTGGGTATTATCCATTGGCAACCTTTGATGCTGAAGCATCTTGCATGTTGCCCCTCTAGGACATTAGATGGTTAGGCTAACCTGACTTGTTAATCTCACAATGAGCACTTACTGTGTGGAGCCAAGTGGGGCTCAGCTCATTCTCCTCTAAAGCCCACCACACCTGGGCCCTGTTTGCATAGGGTTGTGTAACTTCTTACATCTGTCTCTCCTACAAGATTGCATGTCTTGATAGAGCAAGCGGTGCATTTGTCTGATTTTTGCATGCTTACGTCCAAAGTAATCTCTGTCATGGAGCAGGTGTTCAAAAGCCATGTCTACTGCTCAGCCCAGAACAAGTGATCCTGCCGTCACCTGTACCAGGTGGGGCTCCTCTGAATGAGCAGCTGCTACAGGTGTCTGTCGGAAAGGGCACACAGCCTCCAAGGACACCATCTGAGCAGCGGATACGGAGAACAGAAGCCAAGGGGATCGTGCACTGGATATATCGCCAGCAGTTTTCAGAGGGAAGTATAACCACAGGGACTGTAATTTTATGAGAAACGGGGGAAAACATCTCAGCGGAAAAATGAACAGAGAAGTTCCCCAGTCACCGAGCGAGAGCTATGGGGAACGGGGATCAGTTGAAAGCAAAGGACTTGGCCAGGCTGGTTCAGCACACTCCCTGGTTTTGGGGCGAGGACTAGCACCCAGCAGACAGTAAACACGAAGAGGCAAAGGGACAGGAGAGTCGTCTGACTTTTCCCTCAGAACGGCAAATGCTGAACTTTGGATATGTTCTGTGACAGAGTGTGCCAGGGGAGAGTCCAGAAGTTCATTTGCCTGCAAAGGAGCCGGATGTGGTGGCGCACGCCTTTAATCCCACAACTCGGGAGGCAGAGGCAGGCGGATCTCTGTGAGTTTGAGGCCAGCCTGGTCTACAGAGCGAGTTTCAGGACAGCCAGGGTTGCATGGTGAGGCCCTGTCTACGAACAAACAAACACAAAAAAAAAAAACAAAAAGCAACCCTCTCCCGCCCCCAAACCAGCAAAGTGAATTTCACATGGAATCCTGGCTACTTGGAAGGCTGTGAGGCAGGAGGATTGTGAGTTCTAGGCTAACCTAGGCCACAAAGAAAGACCTTGTAACATAGGAAAATCACTCTGGGCTTCCCAGGGGCACCTGCTGTCCCTGACCATCATCAAACCTGTGCATTATTAACAGAGGTTTCTTGGATTGCCAAGTCACTTTCTAAATATCTTCTAGAATTACTTATTAAATAGGAGGGAACACAACACTGTCCCAGCTACAAAAACAGTTGAATCCCTCGATGAAAAAGCGAACCTGGGACATTTGTCAGGAAAGCATCCAAACACCCGCAGTCTCCGGCTTCCCCACTATGCCTTCTCCAGTGGTTCCCTAGTTTTCTGTATCACAGGACACCCTCAGCTCATCGCCTCCCAGTGCTCAACACCGCAAACCTAGAGAAACCAGTTTAACCCTTTCACTGCTCTAGGAAGCATGGTTAGGCTTAAGGGAGTGGTTGAAAGGCCAACGAGGACGTCTAACCAAAGGACCACTGATGCCACAGGTGGCTCCCAGATGGAGTCTTTCGCCTCACCCTGTCTAGTTCACAAGCTAGTCACACGCTGCAGATTTCTTTTATATAATATAGTCATATTTACAAGTCTCTGGGTTCAGTCTGCTGGACACAGACCTAAACTAACATTTCAGAATAAACAAACAAAAAGCCGCAGACGCCCTCTGTGTACCTTCACCTACGACCCAGGGGCTCAACAAAATAGGTTACTTATTACCAACCACACAGAGATCAACTTGCCAACAGTCAGTGTAGACAGTGCCCACAAGACATACAA